TGAGAGAAGCGAGACCAAAGGAGGTCAGGCACATGGAAATAAGGCATGAATATGTTACTAATAGAATCCTGAAATCCAACGTAAAACTGCTTAGAGAACATGGAGTGGCCTGGTCTGCTCTATTTTGGGTCAAAGGAGACTCTTTACCTTCAGGAATCCCTTGAGTCCTTATTTTTACTCTTAGCAGAAGCAAATGTTATTTAATCCTTTGGAATAAATGAATTTGTCAATGATTTAAATTGCTTAATTTGGCATTCTTTTAAAAAAATAAGAACTACCCTTTCCTTCGGCCAAATCTAAGGAAGGGCTGGTCTATGTTCTCACTGAGTGGGTTTGTGGGTTTTCTGACTAGCTTGAGACTCCAGAAATATAACCAAATCCCCTCAGGAAGACCCTCTCTCTGCCCGTTCCTTAAGGGCGTTCTTTAGCTCACATTTCTAAGTGCCCATATCCTTGACATGGTAATCACCCTTGGATTTCTTTTGTTTCTATATGTCAGGAGAGAAAATGTTCAGTGTATTGTGAAATGATCCAAAGGGACTTGGATGGGGACACAGGTGCCATCAAGCAGTAAAACTCTGTGGAAGTCACAGGGGCAGAGGGCAGGAAGGGAGGGGCCAGACCTGCTGTAGCAGCCCGTATACCCTGTGGCTAGGAGGAGTGAGAGTTATAAGAAATACCTATAGCTCAATAATGGAACACCTTGGTGAAAAGGGCATGGAGAGGGATTTAGCTCTCCTAACAAGCATGAGAGCTCGCGAGATGAGAGCCTTGGTGAATCGGCAGTCTCTACACCTGTGGTATTGAGAGGTGAGATCAGCCTTATATTAGGCTGGAGGAGAAGGCAGAGGGGAGCATGTGCATTCTATCACGGACCCGCTTACTCTGACTCTGTCTCCTTTCCTGACTGCAGAATGCCAGCACATCTCTCTGCTGAAGATCACCAAGCTCTGCTAAAGATTAAGATCTATCTATTCTAAGACAGCTTTACTCTCTCTAAGACTCTCTTTCTGTCCTGCTGAAGTAGATAGCCCTCAGGCACCTAAGAGAAATTGTTCCCGAGCAAGGTAGCTTAGTGGTCAGCATCCGGAACCTAGTTAAGCCAGGCTGAGACCTGGCCAGTCCTGGGCCCTGACAAGTGGTGTCAGAAGTGAGATGTGACACCCTGCCTAATGGGTCATGTGGGTGATGGCACACCCATAGCCAGGACTCAAGCGTTACAAAACCAATTCATGTAAAGTAAAACATTTGTATCCTACTAATACTTTAAAATTGAAATAAATACATAAAGAAAGGAAATGAAATAAACTAGAGCTTGGAGGTTCCTTCCATCATTTCCCCTCTTCTCCTTAAGTGGTTTCTGCTCTGGGTCCCCTGCTCACCGTCTGAGTCAGTTTCTCGCTGGTCACCCCACTATCTCTCTATAACTCCCCAAACTATCCAAATCCAGAGAGCTTACAACCACTGCTGCTAACAACTTAGAGAGCTTCAAGGGACGCTCACTCCCGCTCTGGGCCGCCTTCCGCTGCTGCTGATCACGGAAAGGGCTCCCACCGCACAGGCTCTCTGAGATGACGACTAGGTACAGAGAGACGAAGCATTCTAAGATCTCCTCTTATTCAGGATTGTTCTAGAAGGAAAAATAGGATGTACTTAATAACAGGCTTTCTGTTTTGTTTTACTGTGTTAAGCCGCTTTGTGGAGGTGCGGCTGACATGGAAGTCTGTACTGTTTAACACTATACACGTCTCCTCAACATAGTCCTCTTCTCTTGCCCTGTAACACAGCAGCACAAACCAACACAAATGTATTATCTTACAGTTCGATGTAGATTAGAAACCCCACTGTAGGTCTCACTGGAAAAAAATCCAGGTGTCAGCTGGGCTGTGCTCCTTTCTGGAGGTTCTAAGAGAAGGAATTATTTGTCTGGGTTTCCAGCCTCTAAGGCGTCTGCACCTTTCACATGAGCAACATTGGGTGGAGTCCTCAACGGGCCCTTCTGACCGTCCACAGCTTCACCCACCCTTCTCCTGCCTCTCTCTTCCACTTTAAGAATCTTTTTGATTACGTTGGGCCCACCCAGTCACCTGGTATAATCTCTCCATTTTGAGGTTTGCAACTGCGTCACTTCTGAAAACTCCCCTTTTGCCATGTGAGGCAATGTAGTCACAGGTCTGGGGACTGGGACCTCAGAAATGGACGGCTTTGGGACCCCTTATTCTGCCTACCACAGATGTTTAGTTCACTTACCCTCCACATTGTATCTGAATCATAAAACTCTCAGTAAATTGACGATGTCATTCGAGTTGCTTGGTTAACAACTTTCCTCAAATTACATACTTCGTAATGAAGGAATAATTGAGTTCACAGCATAATCATTGTTACAAGGTTAGCCCCCAGCCCTGTAGAAGAAGATTGAATAATTCACGTATCTGAGGATAGGTTTTATATAGACCTTCCCTAATAGATGGGGATGTGAATATTTTCTTAACTCTCAAGGCCAAATCAAAAATTTCCTACATACAAATTCACTTTGGAGTGTGACTCATTTGCACGGCCTGGCTTCACCGTAGAAAATGAATTATGTAATTGTTAAGAATTCTTCAGTCTTGATTCTGAGTAAAAGGAATCTGTAAAGATGTTACACATTTTTTGAATCTTCCCTTCCTCTGCACTGATACACATCAGCCAGTTGTTTTCCTGCTCTGTTCTTACAAATTGCCTCCTTTCTAAAAAAAAAAAAAAAACAAAACAAAAACAAATTGCCTCCCTTCTGCAGGTTCTAAAGGAAAAAGGAGGCTTGTGACCCCCACAGCAGGCGGTTAGCAAACTACTGTCCCAAGGCCAGATCTGGCCCTTAAGCCAAGAATGGCTTTCACATTGTTAAGTGGCTGAAAAACCATAAAAAGATAAATATTTTGTGAAACGTAAGAATAAAATAGAATTCAGATTTCAGTGTCCCTAAGTTAAATGTCATTAGAAGATGTCATCCTAGGGTCACTTGTGAACTACAGCAACAAAGCTGAATAGTTGCAGCAGTGATCACAGGACCTGCATAGCCCAGATTATTTACAATCCAGTCCCTTGTAGCAAAAGTTCACTGAATAACACAAAACTGACATTTTTGTGGGTAGGTATTTAGAAATACAGATGAGGGTTAAAAGGAAATTTGGGTTTAGGTGGGTGGAGAGGGAGTTTGTATGTGGTCATTATTAACTTTGGATTGTAACTATAATGTAATTTCATCTAACTGTTGAGATCAGAACCTTTCCAAGATAATCTAACTGAGGAAACATAGTTTTTTGAGGCAACAACATAATAAACTTGGATTTCATTTTAAAACTTCTGTAAGTGGGGAGGTGAACCAGACAGACTGTGGGTTTTGAATCCTGAATTTGCTTTCCTTTATACTTTTCATACAGTTTGCACCTCGGATATTCCCAGTATTAGAGGAAGGGGCATGTGACCTATAGGACTTGTAAGATAATCTCCCCAGAAGAAGAACGTGGTGATTAGTTGTGTCTTGGTGTCAGCTGTGTCCAGCTGCCACCAGTCAGTACTACACAAACGCAAGCCAACAGCAAACCTGACTAGTGCGTTTCCTCTTACAGAAGATTATTTCTGTAATAATGGCATAAACACTGTCGTAACTGGTTGCAGTCAAGGTTTGGCTTTTAACTGTCAGTGGACACTGAGCATGTTTAACCCTAGAAGTTGGAATGTGCACTGACATTAGGAAGCCTCCCTCCATTGTGCATTTGATGCCGTTTCTTCTAGGTAACAGCATAAGTAGGGAAACACTCCCCACCGCTGATCCATTCCTAGCTCATCTTCTGCATAGGAATTAGAACCCCAGCTGGACCAAGCCACTGTGGCGCTTGCAGACCAGCCCACAAAAAGCACCACAGTTCCTCAGGTGCCTCAGTTAGTTAAACCTCACAGATAATCCACACGATTACTCATTGTTTTGAAAATAGATTTGACAGGTAAGATGCAAAATAATTATACTCTGTGTGACCACATGTTAGTCACGGGAAGAATGTGCTTCACGCACACTTACGCCAGCCTCGACCTTGCCTCCTCCAGCTGCGTGATGTGGCATCTTCATGTCGGGTTTACAGACTGGGAAGCTGAGGGTCAACCACGGCACCTCCACCAGCACAAGGCACAGCCAGCACACAGTGCATTGTTTGAAGCATTTAAACACAGTGATGCCCGTGCCACTGGCCAGAAGTGAGCATATCCCTTGTACCTCTAACGGACAGGAGCTTTTGTATCGGAGAAGGCTCCTTAGCGAGCTCACATTTTCAATAGTAAGAAATAAAATAGATGATTGTATCTGACAATTTAACTGTGTGCTGGGTATTTTATAAAGAGAACTGGGTATTTTAAACGGCTTACCCAGAAATTGATTGTATCTTATTTTAAAAAGATTAATGCTCTACTCACCTAGAACATAATTTTATTCCATTTCAACTCTCTTCTACACTTCCTGTCAACAATCTCATCAATGCTTTGGTAGGAAAAGCCCAGGTTGTGATTTCTGCAAATAGGAGGCTGGAATCCTGGTGTGCTACCAAAGCGATGAACAGTTTGTTTGAGTCTCCCTCAGGTTGAATAAACTGCCAAGTGTTCAAACAGAGCAAGGCAGGACTTTACCAGTCGCCTGTTTCTTTTTCTGGTTCTTACTCCTTGCGATTGAGATCCTGCTGAAAAGGACCAAGAGCAAAGGAATAGCTTCTCATGTAGCCATCGCCAGTAAAGAGCAATCCACTTTCAATATTTTTGAAAATTTTTATGCTGTCAAGGAATATAGCATTTATATTTGAGCAAAGATAAAATTATATGAATCATTTTAAGGTTTAAAGACAAATAATTGGGCTCTGTTTTAAGCACCTCAAAACTAAGAAGGTCAGTAAACCAGTTCTGAAGAGGTTTGAATGGGACGTTTGCTCTGTTGGTCTACAAGGGAGATTTGTTCTCCTCTTTCTCTTTTCCAGGCTAACTGGTATGAACCTCCCCTCTCCTGTCATCAGCAGCAAGAACTGGCTGCGACTCCACTTCACCTCGGACAGCAACCACCGACGCAAGGGCTTCAACGCTCAGTGTCAAGGTGAGAACGCTTCCCCTTATAAGAAAAGGAACAGCAGAAGGTGCTGTGGTGTTTTCTAATCCCGCAATTTTAAGATCTTGCCAACAATTCAATAAGAAATATAAATACATTTAAAAGTACTCAGCCATACTATGAAACCAATTTATAGCTTTTTATGAAAGCTATAACCCATTATAGCTGAAGAAGGGGAAGGAGGGAGGGGAGAGGGAAGGATGGGTGGAGGGAGGGTAACTGGTGGGACCACACCTATGGTGCAGGTGCATCTTACCAAGGGTACATGCGAAATTTACTAGGTGTAGAAGGTAAATGTCTTAACACCATAACTAAGAAAATGTCGTGAAGGCTGTGTTGACCAGTTTGATGAAAATATTTCAAATTATATATAAAACCAGCACATTATACCCCATGATTGCATTATTGTACACAGCAATGATTTAATTAAAAAAAAAAATCCCTCTTTTCTCTTTAAGAAGAGCTAACTTTGGAAGTTATATAGGTACTACCTGGAAACATATTAGTAGAACATTATTACTATGACAGTATGCAGTCCATGTGGACAGTCTTGTGTGGCTAGACTGTTTTTAATTTTTAATAGTTATGTGTTAGCATTAAATTACTATATGTCCAACCTATAAATACACAGGATGGTCTGGTAATTATCTTTATTCACATGCCAAGTAAGCAGACAAAACATAGACTTTATGTGAAAATACACAAAAGCATTGTACCATTGCTTTTAGTCCTAAAACATTCTCACACCGAAAATCACATAACACCAACTACCTCATTTGGTGATTTACACGTAATGAACATTAAAAGAAATATGCTGACTCTTCTGCAGCTGAGAAAAATGGACGATCTGCAGTCATTTGGCCTATCGTTTGATTTTGAAACTTCTTTTTAATTGGATTTCTGGGGCTTATCATGAATAGTATGGTACCATTTCCTCTGTTTCTAATAATGAATAATGTTTATTAATATAGCATTAAAAATCCTTGTTAATAAAGCAAAAAGCAATTAACTTGCATTGGCAAATAAAAATGTTATGATGACACTCAAAAATAATATATAATAAATATTATGACTACACTCAAAAATAATACATCCTCCCCAAATCGTGTGACCATGACAATGTTGGCTCAATGAAGGCAGCTTCCTTGAACACTTGCTGCACATAAGTCAGGATGCTAACAAGTGCAACGGGCCCCAAACAAGGAGATTTTAACAACCCCCATGCTTCAGAAACTGGTAGGTCCAGAACATTTATTATATTTGTCCATAAACAACTCCCATGAAAGGCAGAGTGCAAAGGGAACTCGTCACAGCTCCTGAGTGAGAGCCTAGTAATTTTCAAAAAACTGGTCTGAATATCTCTGACCTTAACACATTTTAAAATCTATAAGGCTTTTAGTGTCTCCTTTTGGACACTCAGTAGAAAAATAAGAACAACTACTAGGGAATGAAATACAGACAGATGGCAGACGCTGGGAGGGGCAAGAACTTCTCACTTGGCACCCAGTCCCTGGGCTTGGTGAACTCATGCAGAATGTACCTGCCTTAGAATCCGTTTCACCCACATACGTTTCATGCCATGCTGGGAGCACTGTGCATCTCACTGTGTCCTCTCATCTTGCCAGAAAGTTCTTACTTTAGCTGCAAACTTCTTAAAAAGTTTTGTAAGAGGTGATATTGTTTTCACTTCACTGGTGTCCAAGGCAAGGTTAGTCTTTTCTTTTTGTCTTTTGTCTTTTAAAGACACCATCACCTTTGTCTTTTAAGGCCATGTGCTTTCATGGTAAGTAGAATAAATGTGGGAAGGACACAGGTAGTGGTCTGGGGTCACACTGGGAAGGGGAAGGTGTCTACTCTGTGTGCTGGGGGATTGTATCTGAGGTTTCCTGGCACTAATCCACCTCTATAGGTCTATCTGTCCCTGATTTAAAGTAACCACAAGTCAATATTTAGAACGCCAATGAACTGACCAGATAGTCTGATCAATTTGTAGAGTTATCTCGGAAATGTTGAATGATCTTCCTCAAAAGCCTTCATTAATTATTTTGTTCAATGCCCAATCAATCAGAATTGAACAAAATAAAAATTTCTATATATTGTTGCTCGAACCCGACAAGTGCATTTGGCACTTGTAGCTGTGCTGGAAATAAAGATTAAAAACAGAGTATCAAAGGTGAAGATTCTCCTAGCTGGTTGGTACATTTAAGAACCCTTACCAGTTGGCAGAGAATTACAATAGCTTAGATGTAGCAGTCATTGATTTTAAAAGTAAATGTGTATGTAAATGTATAATTAATTAATTAAAGTGTTACAGATAAAGCTCGTGTTTAAATGATATAAGTAAATAGTATAAATTGCATGATAATATATAACTAAAGTATATGCACTTTATATTTATGTATAATTCAAGCATATGAATAAATTAATTACATGTATAAAAAGAGACACAAGTAGAAAATTTTGCACCTAAGTCAGAAAAGGTACAAAAATTAGAAAGGCCTACCAATGTAATATCAGAAATGGTAACCAGGCTTGGCAGGAATGCACTAGAAAACCTCTCTAGGCTGACTTGAATTCAGCTCCCTGAGAACACAGCATGAGGAAGCCGCCTCCCTTGTCCCCTGGGCTGCTGTGCAGTGGCTGTATCACAGCTCATGCAAACTCCTGGGTTCAAGCGATCCTCCTGCCTCAGTCTCCAGAGTATCTAAGACTACATGTATATGCCACAACACCCAGCTAGTTTTTTGTCTATTTTTGTAGAGACGGGGTTGTTGTACCCCCTATGATAGATAGAGTCAGACCCCCACTTGGGTGTAATTAATTGGTAATTTATTTTACCTGCGGAAGGGGCTGCTGCTCTGAGAGGCAGTCAGCCCCATAGTAGGGGGTAGGTTGCTTTTTATAATTTTGAGCAAGCATACTGGTACAAAAGCAAGACATGGCTGTTAGCTTAGGGCAGTGGGGTTACAACTTGGTAGACAATGGATACGTCTCAAATCACAGTGGTCATGGTTATACAACAGTAATTAATCAAGCTTTGGTGAGTTTTTCACCATTGTTCATCTACTGAGAACTTGGGGGTTTTGTGAAACTTGGGACTTTCCGTGCCTCAATCCTCCCTTCTTTCTGTGCATAGATTCAGGAAGCTCAAACACAGTAACGGAGAGAAAGTGACTCTGATTACTGCAAACACCATTGCAAAGAAGGAAACCTAGTGATAGTAGCAAAACTGAGTGTGCACAAAAGGCTGGTTTCCTGTCTCTGCAAACATTCTGTCAAACAACTTGAGTATTATGCTCTTTTCTTTTTTTGGTAAAGGAAAACACTAAAAAGAGAAACAGAACATTTATTTTTATTCTGAACATACTTCTTCGTGCCTTTTTAATGTTACTCTATTCACATTTATCATTTACGGTCACTCTTGAGAATACAAAAAAAAAAGATCAGTAATTTTACCTGCAGTAAATGTGATTGCAGATTATTTGGGATTGCTGCAGAATCTCTGCGTGGCTCCTAAGCTGCCAGCACAGCCCTCTGGTGACATTTCTCAATGAGAAACTGCTTTGTTACCCAGGAGCGTGATGCCTGGATGGAATTTTATAACTTTTAGAATCGTAGACTATATTACTTTTAACTTGGCTCTTTTCTTGGTCAAACCAACCACCACCCCATAAGATATTCTTTCTTCTCCTTCCTCATGTTTTAACTTTCATCTGCACGTTCTCTGCTCCCTGAGTCTCACACTTTCTTCTTTGCTTTTTGCCTCTTTAATCATGTGATCAAGTCACGCCAAAAGCTGGGGTGAGGCTGATTGACAAGTGAAACTGCTCTAAGGCTGCTTCTCCTGAAATACATTCCCTTATCAAATAGCACTGTGAACAAACCAAGTGTAAACAGCATCTAGGAAAAAGCCCACTTGATATATTTATAATAATTCCTTGTCTATATACTGGGCCCTCATTGAATAATAGATTTTTGTAGGACACATTATTTCTTTAAATCATCTGTAAATTGAGCCCATTCTTTATAGGTTGCCTCCATCATTAATTATAATTAAACAAGAACCTTGTTAGCATAATCCATCATCTAGACATTTTCAATGTTGACCAGATAAATTTTTTAAAAAGATATTAATCTTGAACCATGTGGGCCTCTGACTGCTGAACAGTTAGCTGTATGAAGGCTGAGCTCCAATTTTACATGTGTTTACCTATTTATACAATTAAAATGTTCATGAAATGAAAATCTCATTGATCTTTATAACTGATAAATCATGTTGAAAGAAAGTGTTTGTAATAAAATTCCAATTTATATAGGGAATTCTCCAGCTCATAAATCAGGGGAAAACCTGCCTGTGTCTGTGAAGATTGTGTGGAAAGAAATAATTAGTTTGCTTTTTAGGTTATGGTTCTATGTAACTATGGATTTTCCTGTTGTTTAAAATGAAGATCTTCATACAAAATGAAGACTTTCATGTTATTAAAAGGATATTTTTATGAATTAAAAGCTTTGTGTACTGAGATTAATTCTAATCTAGATAAAATGTGTGCATTCCCCAGTCTAGAACGCTCACATTTTCTGCAGAATGACATACATCCCCAGAGATCTACCTAATAAGGGAACAGACCCCAGTTCTAGTGCCATGAATGCGAATGTTTGTTTCCCCTTTAAAACACTAACTCCACAAAACAGCAAGGATCATTCCGTACCTGGAGCCTAGAAGGTGCTCAACTAGTGTTTGTTGCAGGGATGAAGAAAATCAACCTCTTCTCTTCCCAAGGCTCCACAGGCCAGCCCTCGGGGGAACCAGCAGAGCCCTCCAGGTGGCCTCCTGCCCATCTCCCGGCAGACGATGTCACCGGCTCCTTCCTACTAAGAGGAACTATTAGATGGGTGTGCCATGCAAAGTATTTTGTCAATCAAAGTAAATTAGTGAAATGTAATCTTATAACCTCTAAGTCATTCTTAAAACTGCTAAACCTCTACAA